TTGATGTTTACGCAATTTTTTTATTTTTTTATTTTTCGTTTAATAATTGCCTAGTTTCGTTTAATAATTGCCCCTCAAGAACTTTTGATTCTAGCCAGTTTGGTTGATTTGTTATTTTCGGCACGAATTACATGTAATTTTGTGTATACGATTCCATAGCTAGTCCCTATAAAGACTTGAAATTAATTTAGGCTATATATGTGTATATTGTTGGAAAATACAATTTCACGTAACCAGCATAGGCTACTATATTTAGATATTAATAATTTAACACCAAATATCTATTGTTGACAAAAAACATGAATAATACTCTTTATATTAAAATAAACCCAAAATCTGTTGAAATCTAAAAAAATACAAAGTTTTAAACTTCCAGTAAAAAAAACTGTACTGTAGATAAGCGGTATTATCCAATTCAAATTACGGGGTTTTGCACTATCTTCGACTATATTACCATATAATTTAATTACAAAAAGAATTTGTGTAAACACTTTTTAACATATATTTGAACAGAAAGTAAAGACTTTTTCGCAACACCCGCAAATTGCTTGCCAAAATCAACATTTTAAAGCAAACTTATCATGTTTTGTGAATTTTATTTGCTTCTCATCTTATATTTAACAATATATTAGGCAGCACTAGGAAAGAAAACAACAAAAATTTTTGAGAAGTATAAGTTAATATTAATAATTACCTGTTTTCCGATCGGTTTTATATTATGAAAACTTTCCTTACCTTTTTTTGTGAAATATATAGGATAACAGAATTAATTGTATAGGGATGTACTTGCATCTTTTTTGCTATTGAATTATGGCTTCTATTGGGATCTTCTTCCATTTTCATTTTTAAAACTTATTTTGTTATTGGGTAGCAAACAAACTAAAAACTAGATATAAAAAACTAAAGTAAATTTGATTTTGAGTTTTTGAAAGAAAATTAATTATTTTTAGGTTTTATTTTCAAGTATTTATGGTTTTAATATTAATAATTAATTTAAAAAACAACTATTCTAAAGAGCATTTTTATTGGATCTTCTGTTCTATAGAAAAACCGGAAGAACTCCTTTTAGTTGTTATTTTTTATGATTTAGTTTAAAGAGCAGCCGTGGCGCAGTGGTTAGAGTTCTGGCTCAGAACCCAGAGATCCGAGGTTTGACGCCAGCTCTAGCCCAACAAGCGACATTGGTACGGAATTGGTGCTCAATGATAAGACCGTAAAGACTTCTGGGAGCAAATAAATACATACAAAAAAAAAAAAAAAGTTTTTTACTTTGCAAGTATACTTTTATAAGCTCAGATAATGGAAGTCTATTTATGATAAATTGTGCAATGTTTTCATTTTTCGGAAAGACCTTTCGATGACGTAGGTAGTGTTGCGTAGATACTGGATTTAGTTATATATAAATATATTTGATTGCGATTGATAGCAATTATGTTATTATATTTACAAACAGAATCAGTCATACTATTGAGCAAATGTCGAAATAAGAAAGACGAATGCTCACCTTTTAAAACATCCATCAACGTTACTGAAATAAAAACCATTCAAACCTTGAACCTCTTGGTTCTTAGCCAGAACTTTAACTACTGAGTCTCGGCAATTTTTTTTAATTCCAATCAAATAAACATAAAAACTCATCAACGTTTTAATAATTCCAATCAAATTTTTGAATTCAGATTTTTTAGCTACAGCAGCATCATTTCTTAACCGTAAGCACAATCTGATTTAAACACTAAGATAATTAACTGTAAGCACAATCTGATTTAAACACTAAGATTATTAACTGTAAGCACAATCTGATTTAAACACTAAGATTATAAGCTGTAAGCACAATCTGATTTAAACAATATTTATGGATTAACATAATGTCTTAGTTAGATTCTGTAAAACAATTATGCTTTGAAGAATTTAAAGAATTGATATTAAAAATGAAGGAGTAAATTGAAAAAGAAATTCTTAGTTAACATCCTGTTAAAGTTTTACTTTCAGAACATGAATTTATGTTATAGTTACATAGAAAATGCGTAACTAAATGGTTTCCCCATCAATTATTGTATTTGTAAAAATTTTAAAAGGCATATAATTAATTCAGGTTTTAGCTTGAATTTATAAGGTACTAGCACATTCTGGCAAAACTACCATTAGTTCATCATTTTTTCATTTGATTTAAGGACAAAAAGAGCAGCAGAACCTCAAAATTCAAAAGTAAACTTGATTGTGAACACCATGCAAAAAATGAAAGAATAGATTAAAAAAAATTATAGTCTATCGGAAAAGGTTGAAATTTTATCAGCAATTTATAGTGGTGGTGACAAAAGTTCATTATGTAATGAGATGAAGTTTGAAAACTTGAAAGAACTATGTATAAATGTTGATAATGATGAGAAAAGACTCAGACAAAAATGTAAACCAGAATACCTAGAGTGCTGATGATGAGTGCTGATGATGAATACTGAACTGTGTATCACTTCCGCTGGACTACAACGTAAACTTATTAAATATGATGCTAAACATTAAATATATTTTATTAAAAACTTGTTATATAAATGTTAAATAAATTGCGGTGGTTTACGTTTGGGAAAAAAAAGCATTAACATAAACTATTTCTATGGACACATTGTACGCTGAAAAAATGCCTACCTATTTCAATGGAGTGTTCACACTGTACGCTGAAACAAATGTCGTACTTATTCTTTCATTTTATTTATGTTCACGCCTTAATTGGCTCAGATGGTTTACAAGAATCAAGGAAATCTATTTTTTTTTATTTTTACATATTTATCAGTAGATCTAACAAAAAAAAAATTTTGGATAGGGAATGGATAAGTAATCAGGTAGAGGAGTTTTTATTGTTGTTTAAGTCGTTTAAAAACATTTTAACACAACAATTGATGTAAACATCAGTTGTTGAATGATTCTTAAATGAATTCAACAAAATAAAACATTCATTCGTCCAAATTAAAACATTCACCCATTCAAACATTATTTCTCCGACTACTCAACTTCCACCCAAAGTCTTTTTCCAAATTATATTTTTTATTAAATCTACTGATAAATATGAAAAATTAAAAAATAATTTATTTTCTTGTTCCATGTAAGCCATCTGGGTGTAATATATGCTTTTTTTAAATTTATTTTGTCGTTTGTTTAAAAAAAGAAATTACATTAATAGGAAATCCTTGCCGGAGCAAAAAGAAGACAAATTGTCTTATCACCGAGCCCAGCTAGACTGGTATTTTTAAACGTTTTAAAAATTTACATACGTTGAAAAATTTTACATACGTTGAAAGTGATAAAAACAGAATAAATACATACAAAACTTCAGCAATAATTTTTTTTTTGCTAACAATCTTCCAGTGGAATAATTAAAAATAAAATAAAGCTAAAGAAATAATCCTGAAAGTTATTAACCCTCAAAAAATTTCGTCATGTTATATTAAAAATTATGCAATATTAATAAATATTTAGGGCTAATTGATAAATATCAACAAAAACATAAAACAAAACAATTAGTAACAAAAGCTAAAGAAAAATTATTAGTTTTCAAATATTTATTCAATTCAAACCTTTTAATTATTTTCAAAACAGATTTTGAAATATGTTTTATCAAAGTCCATGTTTAGTAAATGCTATTTTGAATCAGCCTTAAAACTATACAAAGTGCAGTTCTTTTATTAAATTTTACAACAGAAAAAACACGTTTTACTTTAATCATAAATAATATAACTTGATAATATTAAAATTTATTCATAAATAATATAACTTGATAAATATTATAAGTATTTACAACTCCAAGCTGACGTAAGAGAGGTTCGCAATGTACACCCGTACGAAAATTTCCCATGGGAATTTTAGAAAAAAAACCCATGGAAAAACCATGGGTATTTGGAACACGTTCCCATGAAAAAAACATGAGTTTTCCATGGAAAAAACCATGAGTTTTCCATGGAAAAAACCATGAGTTTTCCATGGAAAAACCATGAGTTTTCATGGGAAACACATGAATTTCCCATGAAAAATCTTTAAGTTTTTCATGGAAAAGTGTTCCAAATACCATGGATATTCAATGATTTTCCATCCATGGAAAAACCATGGAATTTCCATAGGTATTAGGAACACCTTTCCAAGGAAAACTTATGGATTTTTCATGGTAAAAAAGCATGATTTGTTTTCAAGTTTTTTTATCTAATGTTATTTGAATTGTCATATTAAATCATAAAAGCAAATTTTATCTCACTAATATCATTGAGTATCTCTTAATCTATGGGATCGCTTTCTCCGAATAAAATCAATAAACAAAATAAAATTTAAATCTTGTTAAATCCTACAAATCTTTGAAAAATAATAGCTATAATGCACCTAAAACATCAAAACTTGACTTCCTTACAATATTTAATGCATGCATATGTATAACATACTGAAAATAAAACAAAAAATTACAAGTAATATAATACTATAAGTGATATACATAGTGATAAACAATTGAAATTTACCAAGAAAACAATTTTTACAGAAAATAAAACAATTTACGTGTTTATTATTTTATATTAACTATTTGATAAAAATAGTATATATAAATTTGATAATAACTTCAAGTTTTAACAAGTTAAAAAGAACCATCAATACAACATATTTAATTCAAAAAAACATCAAGCCCATTTATAAATGCGTCTGTACTGTATCTGTAGAAACAGGTAGATGTTAAACAAAGTACCATTCACATATTAATATTCATTTTTTTTCACCCTAGTTAGTCTCATTCTCCATTTCACCAATTTTGACAACACATCATACAACTATTATATACATTCTAACTAGTTTTCTTTGTTTACTAATTCATTTTACTTATAATTATTATCTATTATAACTTACTTTATAATTAGGCATTATACACAATTATGAATGTTGCCAAATGTTAGGTAACATTTATATAGAAAAAAGTAGCAACGAATATATCATTATTTATAAATACAAATTATTAGATTGTTACCTCTTTTTTGCCTAAGCTATCTGCATTATGTACAACATCGTTTATATTTCCAGTCAAACATTCCTGCCTATAATGTAACTTTATTAAAATGATTTATTCAAACTAATACATATATAAATGTTACCTGCATGTTAGAAACATTTCTATAGAACAAGGCAGCAACAAATATTATATTATATATTTACTTTTGTAATTAAAAAAAAAACTTACTTCTTCTTCTGAGCTATCTGCATGATGTACAACATCATTTACAAACCTGTTTTCTTCACGTCCTTCCATTTTTTAATATATTATAAAGCACAGGACTTGTTAATGAACGGCTAAATAAATAAATTAAAAATTTATATTTAAATGAAATGATAAGGTTAAAATGAAAAGATTTATACACATATATAAATTTTACCTGCATTTTAGTAACATTTATATAGAATAAGGCAGCAACAAATATAGTATAACTTATAAATTATAATTTTAAGTAAAAACTTACTTCTTTGTCTGAGCTGTCTGCATGATGTACAACATTATTTATATTGTCAGTCAAACTTACCTGCTTATAATGCAGTAATTTAAATAAAATAATAAAGTTAAAATAAAAGAACTTACGCACATACCATTAAATTCAAAAATTTATTATATTTTTACTTCACTATTTAAAACATAACAAATATGTAATTTATAAAGTATAGTAATGTAATTTATAAAGTATAGTAATGTAATGTAAACTCAAAAAAATTTATAGCAAACAAAAACATGCTTGCAGGATAATATTTGGGGCAAACAGGAATGCCCTTACGGCAATATTCCATGGAAAACCCATTGAATTCCATGAGTAAACCATGGTTTTCCCATGGAAAACGGGAATTCCATGGAATTTCGATGGGTAAATTTCATGAAAATTGAAATCCCATGGAATTTCCATGGGTGAGCCATGTTTTTTTTTACATAGCTTAAGCTGCGCCATTGTTGTTACAAATGCGCTTTTAAAGATGGCATCATAGCTCGTAGAGTAATGATTATTTTTAACTTTAGAAAACAATACTTACTGCATTCTTCTGTTTTTCTGTGTTTAATAAGACTATGAATTATATGTTTTTTATAATGCATTACATTTATATGATTTAAACTAAACATACTGACATAAACAACTAGGTATATTTATCATATTATAATGCATTATAAAATGGATTATTTTTAATTATATTTAATTATATATCATTTATGCATATACTTATTTTAACTGTTTCCAGTAGCTTTGCTTACTTTGCATAACTTGCAATAGTATTGCAAGTATGTCAAGTAAACCAGTTTGAATTTTAATGCCTACTTGGCAAATTATTTGCCAAATAATTATTATTTGGTTTACAACAAATAAATGTTTAGTTTTAATCTACATTAAATAACTAGTGAATTAATGTACATAGTGTAATTTAATGTACATTCAAACTAGTATAATTATTATTATAAAACTTATCGAACATAATAAAGAAACTTATCTAAAATATTAATATACAAGCAGTATATTAGATAAGATTAGATAACTAATGTACAAAAGATAACTAGTATGATCTTTTTTATTTTTTTTATAATAGCCTTAGATTACATAAAAATGCTTGAAGTTTATTGTATCATAAATGTTCATTAAGTATTAAAAAACATTTTTTTATGATAAATGTTCTATTCAATTTTAGTTCTGTTAAGTTGTTTTTGTCTTTTTGTTGTTGTTTTTTCTTTAGAATTATTAGAATATGTAAATAATGTAATATAAATAATGTTTATAAATTCTTTTATATTTACTTTATTATTTTATTTAAATTACTACATTATAAGCCAACAGGTTTGACTAGCAATATAAATAATGTTGTTCATCGTTTATATTGTTTATAACATCGTCAGTTTTTATATGCATTTAATATTTTTAAAAATAGTTCAAAAGCTGTCAAAATAAAATGGTGAATTAAGTTTAAACCAGAAAAGATATAAACGTAATCTTTGGGATTCAACTTGTAAGGATGTTCCAAGAACCACTTAGTTGGAGAAGGAAAACTGTGGTAATATTTTATAAGTATCAGTAAGGGAATTTACTTAATGCACAAGATTTTACTTCATAGTTAAATATAAGCATATAAAAGCAATGTTTATAAATAATACACTATTATTTATTATAATACAATTATTTTTATTCGTTTATATTTAACTGATGTAAAGTGCTCGTCTTTAGTTAAAATAAATTAATTTATGAACACACTTTGATATTTACTATGCTTTTACATTACTATACTTTATAAATTACATATTTGTTATGTTTTAAATAGTGAAGTAAAAATATAATAAATTTTTGAATTTAATGGTATGTGCGTAAGTTCTTTTATTTTAACTTTATTATTTTATTTAAATTACTGCATTATAAGCAGGTAAGTTTGACTGACAATATAAATAATGTTGTACATCATGCAGACAGCTCAGACAAAGAAGTAAGTTTTTACTTAAAATTATAATTTATAAGTTATACTATATTTGTTGCTGCCTTATTCTATATAAATGTTACTAAAATGCAGGTAAAATTTATATATGTGTATAAATCTTTTCATTTTAACCTTATCATTTCATTTAAATATAAATTTTTAATTTATTTATTTAGCCGTTCATTAACAAGTCCTGTGCTTTATAATATATTAAAAAATGGAAGGACGTGAAGAAAACAGGTTTGTAAATGATGTTGTACATCATGCAGATAGCTCAGAAGAAGAAGTAAGTTTTTTTTTTAATTACAAAAGTAAATATATAATATAATATTTGTTGCTGCCTTGTTCTATAGAAATGTTTCTAACATGCAGGTAACATTTATATATGTATTAGTTTGAATAAATCATTTTAATAAAGTTACATTATAGGCAGGAATGTTTGACTGGAAATATAAACGATGTTGTACATAATGCAGATAGCTTAGGCAAAAAAGAGGTAACAATCTAATAATTTGTATTTATAAATAATGATATATTCGTTGCTACTTTTTTCTATATAAATGTTACCTAACATTTGGCAACATTCATAATTGTGTATAATGCCTAATTATAAAGTAAGTTATAATAGATAATAATTATAAGTAAAATGAATTAGTAAACAAAGAAAACTAGTTAGAATGTATATAATAGTTGTATGATGTGTTGTCAAAATTGGTGAAATGGAGAATGAGACTAACTAGGGTGAAAAAAAATGAATATTAATATGTGAATGGTACTTTGTTTAACATCTACCTGTTTCTACAGATACAGTACAGACGCATTTATAAATGGGCTTGATGTTTTTTTGAATTAAATATGTTGTATTGATGGTTCTTTTTAACTTGTTAAAACTTGAAGTTATTATCAAATTTATATATACTATTTTTATCAAATAGTTAATATAAAATAATAAACACGTAAATTGTTTTATTTTCTGTAAAAATTGTTTTCTTGGTAAATTTCAATTGTTTATCACTATGTATATCACTTATAGTATTATATTACTTGTAATTTTTTGTTTTATTTTCAGTATGTTATACATATGCATGCATTAAATATTGTAAGGAAGTCAAGTTTTGATGTTTTAGGTGCATTATAGCTATTATTTTTCAAAGATTTGTAGGATTTAACAAGATTTAAATTTTATTTTGTTTATTGATTTTATTCGGAGAAAGCGATCCCATAGATTAAGAGATACTCAATGATATTAGTGAGATAAAATTTGCTTTTATGATTTAATATGACAATTCAAATAACATTAGATAAAAAAACTTGAAAACAAATCATGCTTTTTTACCAAATACCCATGGTTTTTCCATGGGTTTTTTTTCTAAAATTCCCACGGGAAATTTTCGTACGGGAATAATAGGTAGGATTCAAACTTTCTAAAATAATAGGATTTCGTAATCCTATACAGACGTCGAGAACAAATAAAAGGAAATCCACTCCTTAACAAAGATCAATTGCAAGAAAAGTTGCCCCACTTTGCATTCATTAAGTTTCAAAACGGAAAAAATAATACCGCTTTAATCAAAGACCTCCCCTTGCTACAAAATGTAAATCTAGAAGAGAAATCATAACTAGTTCAACAACTAATTGATCACAATAATTCATTTGTGTGATACATGCAACTTAAACTTAGTTTATTGAATTCTATAGATTTTCTATTGGCCATACGATTCAAAAGTTTATATAAAATTCTATAGAACTTTTTTTCCTGGGTGACAATTTAGCTAATGTTTCAAAACGAGGTATAATATTTAATCTTGATCAGATATTAATGTAGTTATATATGGTTGCTCTGCATAGTTAATAAATTTTTTAGCATATGACCAAGAAATAGACAATGTTATAAATCAAATAATAAATACTGTAAAATATTTCAGAATAAATCTTTGTCTCAAGATACTCGCCAAAATACCATGTATGGCTGTCTACAAATCTATATCGCAAATTAGTCAACAAAGTACAAAATGACAAACGCAAAATTTGTCATTTTGTACTTTGTTGACCACAAAACTTTTGTGTAAATATAGCAAATACAAAATAGCAGATGTAGTAGAAGTGTGGAAAAATCTAAAAACAACCAAACCATTGTGTAAAAGTGAGAAAGTTGTCCAAAAGAAATTCTATAAACTTTTGAAACATATGGCGTATAAAAATTCTATAAAATATTTAAGGAATTTCTATAAAATCTCTGTTAATTTCTATAGAACTTTTTTTTTATATAAAATAAAAATTTATAGTAATTTCTATAAAAATTGATAAAAATTAATAAAAATTATATATAAGTTTTATAGAAATTCTATAGAACTTCTATTGGTCATATGTTTAAAAAGTTTATAGAAATTCTATAAAACTTTTTTTCCTGGGATTCCATCTTCTGGTAAGTTTAATAAGAAGATTGAATGTGTTTTTTCCCGTGTATTCCACAACCATAAAAATGCAATGAATTTATATTGGTGGCAAATTGGCTAGCAACTAGCTATTGACAACTTGTAACAATAATGACGGCGTTTTGGCCACGAGGATAGCCAGCTAGGAAAATTAGGGACAAGCTAGCATAGATTCACATTTTATTTTTATATATTAGTTGTTCATATTTATTTTTCTACAAAATTACTTACATCTATACCATACTATTATAATAACCAATTTTCGTTAAATTCCAAAAATTGTTAACAAACTATCAATAAAGTTATCAATACTCTTATCAGGTTTAAGTCAAAATTTTTATTTTCATCACATTGGAATGATCCAAAATTAGCTAAAAATAACAAGAGCAACAATTTAAGGTAAAATATTTATATATTTAATTTATAATAAACTAATTATCCAATCAATCAAATTAATCAAATTTTTACGTCATCCTAGAGTAAAAAATTTGAGTAAAATAAGTTAATTATTAGTTTAGGTTAATAACATAAACCAGCATAAAACTGTTATGTAAATGAGTAACTTTAAAGAATAAACAATTTTTAAAAATGCTCATATTTTCTACAAAATTATTTACATCTTCTAAAATATATTCAGCACGGTTATCAAGTTTATATCGTTTTCAAAACATGATAAGAGCATTTATACAAAAATACAGTTTTCTCCTTCTGCAGCATTTGTAGATTTTTTATGATTCCATGGTCAATGTCATGTGATTGCAATATCAACATGAAAATGTTTTGTTACGTAAAATTTTGAGTTTCCAAACCAGTTAAGGGGTCACAACCACATAGATAAGAATTTTTAATATTATTAGTTGAACAATTTTTACGACATATACAGTAAATATATAATAAAACTAAGAAAAATTTAATAAATAAAAAAAAAAAAAAATTGGGTTGCCATGGAAGCCAATTTTTAAGTGGCGGAAACTTAAAATTGTCAATTTTGTAGCAAAAATGTTCCATAAGGTAAGAAACCACATAAAATTTTGCATATAACTAGCTTGATATTAGAAGTATAAAATGCTCAAAAACATCATAACTAACTTATTCCTTAAGTGCTACATTTCTTTAACTGATTTAAAAGCTAATTTTTCCCCTATGGTAACTAAAAAATGGCTACATTTTGTTTTTAACGCTTACATTCATATAATTTTGAGGTTTATGGCACAACTTGATACATAATTAACAAACTTCCCAGATATGATAAGTTTTGGTTAAACCGTTTTTAAAATATCCTTACCACAGTCAAGCAAAGTTAGTAAAAATTTTGATAATTTAAAAAAAATATAAACACATCTTTAAAAAACATTAAAAAAAAAAAATTATAGAAATTCTTTAACAATAATTATATTTGTTTTGAAAGTTTTTATCTATTAAATATTACATTATTGACTATGGTCAAAAATTAGACCCATTCCTATTTAATATTCATGTACTTATGTAAAAAATTTTTGTTTCTAATTTTTCTTTATAGTTCATAGCCGTTAAAACAAACTGCAAATTAAATAACAATCAGAAGTTAAGACAATTCTTAATTTCTGGTATAAATGTCAAAGTCAGTAAGTCAACTGGAAAAACCTAGTTATTTTAAGTCGGTTTTACATCTTTTATGTCGTTTTTACAAACAAAAAACCATTTGTAAAACAAAAATTTAATATCAACTTTTAAACAGTGCTTAAGAAAGTGAATGTACTTATAAACTTGTGTGTCGCTAGGAGACTTAAAAAAACAAACATCTGAATAAATAAATTTTGACCAATTTCAGCATCTATTTGGAAGAAATAACTATCACCTACAGTTTCTACGATAAATTTGAATTAAGTGTATTTTTGAAAAATTGATTTTTTTTTAATATTTCACACTTGTTAATAGGATTGTGCCCCCTGAAGTCTGTAAACTATGCAAACATTTATTCGTTACATAAACTCGCATTAAATAATTTATTTAATTTTTAGTTAAAATTTGTTTTATTCAACCAAACAGTCTGAAAACCAATTGTAATAAGTTTGTTGATGCGCTTATCATATTTGGTTTTTTTTTTGTTTTGTTTTTATTGTTGTCCGTTTTATAAAATTCAAAAAATTTGATCTTCTGTTAATTTTTTTGGCTTGGAACTACTTATAAAGTATGAAATCTCTTGCACAGTCATTTTTTTTAGCGTTTTCACCAAATTTTGTTATTTAATAAAAATTAGTTTTTTTCAAACTTGTTTGGTTGTGTGATTTACATGCTAACAAATACAATGTCATTGTTCTAGCGAAGAATGTAAACAAGTTTATATTTTCTTAATTTCAACTTTCATGTTCTTAATTTTATTTAAAATATAGTAACTTTATGTAAAGTTTTTATTAAAAGCCAGGGACGTCTTAATATTAGCAAAGGTCACCGAACATAGGTATGGACAGCGCCAACCATAAGCGCTCGCTGATACATTTTCGGAGAGGGTGGGGGTAGGAGTAGGGTTAGTGGTAGGAAATAAAAACTTGTATTTTAAAAAACATGAAAAATGAAATTTATTTACTTAATGTAACCAATAGATTATACAAATACAATTTTTGACCTTGTTTAATTTTTTGGTCCTGGTAAGGGTGTAAGGGTTTAAAAGGGAATAAAATAATAGTTATTACGATAATTAACAAAACGTTCTAAATATAAAACTCAGCAATGTTGAAAACAGTGGTTCTACTATTTAAATGTCCAATCGCAGTACGTTCAGCAAATCATCCAATTAATTCTTCTGCTTTAACTTTGCATCAGTTTTAGAATTCGTAGGTTCAGGAGCAATATTAAATGAAGCAGTTGTAGTGGAAAAAGTGAAAGCTGCCTTCAATTCAGGCTCTTTTTCTCTTTAGCACGCTCCTCAAAATAATTAGTTTTATTTTGCCTAAAGTTAAGTTTTACCGACAAATACTATGATTACGCAATTCTTGAAAAAAAAATTCTTTCTACAAAAAAACTTTTTCACTCCCATTGTACTTTAGTACAGGTTTTTTCTCTATTCGGGAAATAAAATACAATTAAATTTTGTAAAATATTTAAACTAATCTTTATAAGCATATGAATCTTTATATGCTGATATATCAATAAATATATATTATTTATAACTTACATTTATTGATGGTGTGTCGAGTGCAATCAAATAAAAGAAAATATCTTCTAAATATGCACTTTTATCCTTCTTTCAAATTATGCTACAGCTTGTTCACTGTTTCTTACCAAATATCATAAAACTTCTGTCTCCCAAATTTGTATTAATTACTGTAAATAAATTCTAATGCACGTATGTATTTCGGCGTTCTGAGTAAACGTAAAAATTATTTATGCGGCTTTAACATTGCCGCTCTTAAATTCACAACCAAAATATTCTATTTTATTTTGTTTTCTATATTATTTTTTATTAAAAATATGTTTTTGTAAAAATAATATTTTTATTTTTTTATATATTGTTTTATATTTTTTCTCATGTGATGAGAATGTCATGAGTCATGATAAGACAAAGAATTTACTTATGTATTTAATTCACAGGCGTCGTGGTTTTTACAAGTGCCAGGCCCTCTGTTAATGCCTAGGTGACTAGGTGGAATGAGACGTTAAGGCGGTACTGTTACAAATTTCATGTTATTTTTTTTTTGTAAGGTTAAATATAAATATATAAATACTGTAATATATATATATATATATATATATATATATATATATATATATATATATATATATATATATATATATATATATATATATATATATATATATATATATATATATATGTATTACAATATTTATTGTTATAATAAAAATTAACATGCAAAATTCTTTTTACATAAACGTGTTTCTTTCGTTAAAATTTTATTATATTAATCTTATAGATGACTGCTACTTCAAAGCTCCAGTTTTTACTATTTTATGAATAAATTAAATAATTAAAAACATTTTTGTAATTAAAAGATCTTTTATCGCTTTTCAACATTCTATCTCTGAATTATTAATATACACTCATAATAAATATTGTAAAGAAACAATAGTTATGGTTGGAACTATTGGCGACTTTTTTTAAGTTATGTGCATTATCGGTTATCTTAATGAATTGTTCAACTTCATCATTTTCGTTTCAAAAAAAAAGTTAAATGCTAATCAAGAAGATCAAATGGTTTTTATACTTCAGTAAACGAAAGAAGCTTTAGAGGTAAACTATCCAATATATACATATATATATATATATATATATATATATATATATATATATATATATATATATATATATATATATATATATATATATATATATATATATATAATATATATATATATATATGCATATGTAATTTTTTTATAATTTCAATCAATAGTAGCCGTAATAACCGAATTTGAATTATAATTTCAAAAAAAATATAAAAAAAAAATAATAATGTTATATCTCACAAACTTTAGTCAAATTGTAAAAAAGTTTTTGTATTTTCATGTATTAACTATAAAAAAATGTGTTCTATAGATTTTTTTTTTTTTTTTTTTTTAATTCATGTTTATTTTACAACTACAAAGTATTTACAAGTAACCAATCACAGATTGGCAGTAAAGATATAAAAATATAAATATCATGACATAAAGTTCGAAATATATGAAGTAAATAAAAATAAAAAAATGTTTAATTTGATTATTGTAGGTTTTAGCTTTATTTTCAGAGGTTTTAGTTTTATTTTTAGATCTTTGTTTAAGTTATTAGTAATTCGTTTCTGGAAACTAATTAGTTAAATAAATCCGGACCACGATATGTAATTGAGAATTTTGAGAGTCTTGTTGTTTCAAACGGTGTTATGGGGGGAAATATTTTTTTTTGACTCAAAATAAAATATAGAGCGCACTTGCCTCGGAAACGTAAGATCCGTGGTTCAAACCCCACCTCTGGGCAGGTTTTGCGACATCGGTTGGGAAGGAGGCGTGAACTTCCTATTAAATGCTCTTCCGCGGTGCTCTGTGATAAGACCGTAAGGACTTCTTGGGGCACCTAAAATCAACATTAAAAAAAAAAAAAAAAAAAACAAGCAGATTTTTAAAACAAAGTGGTTAGAGTGCTTCCTTTTAATAGGTGGTTAGACTGCTTCCTCTTAATTAAAAGGTCTTGACGTTCAAAGTCCGACAAAAAATCTTAATTATCTTTGACACAATTATTGTGTACTTTTTTACAATGAGAACAAAAAAAAAAACAAAAATATCATTAAAAAATGTCATTTTAAAGACAAATAGTTTGTAAGTAAAGTCAAAAAAATAATGAATCAGTTATACTGAGTAATATTCGATAAAATAAAAAAAACACTTTTCCTACTTATACTTTAAAAAATAACTTAGAATAGCTAATACAGTTATTATTTACTATTATTATTATTAGCTATTAAAATATTATTAAATCTAACCTTTTTTGTTTGTATATTTTTGGTAAACATTTTTGTAAATTTTTGTGGTACCACTAAGTTGTACCACTAAATTATCTTTATTAAAATTTGACTTCAAAATTATTTTGCTTGTTTGCACAGATAAAAAACTCATTTAACAATAAAACAACATATTTAACAAACAGTTTAACATGTTATGCATAATATATTAATTTTTGAAAAATATATTTATTTTTTATGAATATCGGGTATTGAAAATTTAAAAAAATTTCCTAATTCAAATTAAATTTTAGGAGAATCCGACTGCAATATACAGATTATCAACTTATCATGTACAATACATATCTCTATTCTTGTGGGATTTTCTCCTAATCAAGATAGTCCTTATCTCTTGACCAGCAACCAAAATATGCAACCTTACGACAATGAGACATCATAAGAATAACCAGTCATGAAATTCAAATATGATATTTGAATTTCATACAGGAATAAATAGAAGGATTTTAGAGTTTAAGTATGGAATTGGAAGAAATAAAATGATAACTAACCATTAACAGATGTTAACTTTACAATAGATTATGGTTTCCATGGTCACTAATAAATGATAATCTGAAAAGACGTAAGTTAGAATACCTATATAGAGTGTTGCCATTATATAGTATATTAAATAAACAACCTTGTATCAATTGATAGCAGTAAGGAAATGAGTTTTGCTTGAGTTAAAATTCATAAGCCACAGAAAGCCCAAGCTGTTACAGAAAAAAAATCGGCTTGAAAAATGGCTGCCTCTTCAACGAGAGCGAAAATTGAAGAATTTTTGACAAGACAGGAGAGTTGTACATACAGTCACTTTAGTAGTAAAGTTGTCAGGAAGATTATTAAGGTAGATAAGAAACAATACAAAACCAAGGATAGAACTTTTTGGTATCGTGGAAAATTATTGGAAATGACGGAGAGTGTAGGCATTCAAGGATGACTTTCATACTGCGGTTATTAAACCGCGAATAAACTGCGGGTATTTAAGAAAAGTTTTAGGAAATAAGTGATTTAAGAAAGAAATACTTTTATAGTTCCAGAAAATTTTTGTTGAAATTATGGTGAAGATTATCATGGCAAATTTTATTGAAAGCTTCTGACGTTTCAAGAGCTATAGCCTCGTTTCTCATCTAATGCATGATAGAACCTTTCTATTAAATTAGTTAGCAAATAACCCGTAGAACGAGAAAATCGGAATCCATATTGATTGTAAGGGAGTAAGTTATTATAATCAAAATGAGAAGTTAGAAATGTTTATTAAAGACTCAAAGACCTTGCTAACAATGGAGAAAAGACTATTTTGACAATAGTTGGAGGGCTCAAAGTGATCTACAGAATTTTTTAAAATTAGAATCGCAGGTGACATTATCAAGCCGGCAAAATATCAAGATTCAATCAAGCACTTATTAAATAATTTAGAGAGGATTGAAGAGAGTTTTGACAAACACTTTTGTAAGACAATGACAGGAGTCTGGACCATAAGTTGTAGAGAAATTTAATTGATAAATGAGTTTAACAACAAAATCTGGAGCGATTTGAATATTTTGAACATAAGCTTTGGTCAGAGACAAGAAAAAAAACCAAAGAGTAAAGGTAAATAGGTAGGGTTGTCTGAAAAACAATACACAAAGTTAATAAATAAAGTTATCAAGTTAAGGGATTGAGAAATATAATAGATATGAGCTTTAATACCGCTAAGATCAGCGGTGATTAACATTAAAGTCACTAATAAAAATATTTTTGGTAGAGAAATAAAGAAAAAGGGCTCGGTAAATTTGTTAAGAAATTACATCTAGAGTAATGTAATATTGAAAAGAAGGAGAACAATAAAGAACAAAGAGAAAGATTATAGAGTGAGGATGTGCTTGGGTGCGAATGAAAAGGTGCTAAAGGGAAGCACATTAAAGAATAGTCAGAGGATTCAAACATTATTTCAATACACATTTATCAGTTAATGCATAGGTATCTGTTCTAGCCAAACAACTAACGATTGGAGACTTTGCGAATCAAAGGATAATTTCCCCCAGCTCTGAGATCCGAAAATGAAACAGCTAAATTTGAATTAGTGTCACAAAAAACAAGAGAACATGGTAAATTTTACAAGAGCTAAAATTAAACAAACAAAAAGTTACATCAAAAATCACAAATATTTGTAAAAAATATGAAATATAGATTATATTTGAAAGATATAACAGTTGATGAAGATGATTTTTTATGTTTAATATTTTTAGGTATTTTAGTCATGATTTAAGTTAAAAAGAACTTGAATAAATTATAAATAGTGCTAAAGAGATAATGGTTAATAAAGCTTGATTCCCTTGACAACCAGCCATGCAGTAGCCTCAGTCTTGCTGAAAAATTTGTAACAGAAGGATCTTTATGTGGTCTTGACATGTGCAACATGGCACTGTTAATATTCTGATAAGTAGTAAAGTGGCGACAGTTCTGGGACATTTTCTATTTTAACCATATTTTAAACCATATATTGATTTAAATATATGGTTTGATGTTGTCCATAATGTGTATAAATTATAAAACTAAGAAATAAAATTTTTCAATTTTTAAAAATCATTTTGCGATAATTTATTTTCTTTAATGACGTCACAGGTCACGTGATATTGTAATTTGTGCGCATGCGCTGGGATTTATAAATACTTTATTATATCTATTATTCCTTCTATTATTTATATTAAATAATCTGTTTTTAACTTTAATACTTCTACATTTTCATCTTTACATATTTTTAAAAATATATCCCTTGTTGATATTAGTTCACTCTCTAATATTAATAATTCTGGTTTTATTAATTCTAATAATTCTTTTTTATTAATATTATTATATATATTTTTTATTATTATATTTATGTATTCTAATTCTGATTCTAATTTTGATTTTGTTTCTTTACTAAATTTTTTAGATTTTAATATTAAATCTTTACTCATTATTTCTAATTTTTTTTTTAAGTTTAAATATGCTGGATTAATTATTTCTTTTTGCATTTCGTTTTCCATTCTTTTTTATATACGCAAGAAAATTATTTAAATCATTTTTTTGTTTCTTGTGCGCATGCGCCTAATTTTTAAAGCATAGTAGAAGCATTGTCCTATTAATGCAGCATAGCTTCCAGATTGTCCAACTTGTGCATCACCAGAGTTGAGTGCCACTACCATTCTTCTACCACTACCAACGCTAGGCATACTTTCAGATGAATTAAAGTTTCTATAAAATGAAATTGTAATTGTTGGACCAATTGTACTATTCGATTGATAAAGTAATCCTGATGCTTCATTATTAAATGAGTTTACATTAGATCCATTCTATGAAGAGAGATAAAAATCTTCTAAACCTGATGAAGCGTAGATACATCGACTGTTAACACCATATCCAGAAAATGTAGTATATCCATTATTATTATAGGGTGTCCAATGTTGAATGACAGAGTTAGTATTGGTAGGAGCACCATATCGATCATAGATGCGAACTCTAGATTCCCACCAGTTTCCAGATCCTCCAATGACATGCATTCTAATGTATTTCAAATACACTCCGTTTCCATTATCCATAGCATTCATTAGCATATATTCACTACCATAAGTTGTATTTACATATCTAAATGTTGTTGAGTATATTTTAATGGATGAGATGGATCGAGGTATTAACGGATTAATACTAGTTAATGTTTGTTGTAACGACGAAGTTCTTGTGATAAAAGGTTGTAACCAAAAGGTCACTGAATTGCCTGTTTTATTGTATAATTGTA